CAAACATACAAGAGCAGAGAGGACCATACAGTAAGTCCATGAGCCCATCTCATTATTGACCAGTCTGGTTTCCTTCATAGCCCCACCTACTCCCTATATCCATTCACTTGTTAATTTTGAAGCAAATCCTTGACATCCTGTCATTTCACCCATTAATATTTCTGTACATATCTCTAAAAGATAAGGACTCAACAAGAAAACATTACCATTATCACACCTAAGGGACCAATTATTCCAAGTATATATATTATATATTTTAAATATGTTTTTTCAAATATCCAGTTAGTGTTGAGTTTTCCCTGAGGATCCAAATTAGGTCCACTCATTGCAAATGAGTGAAAAGTCATTTACTCTTTTTAAATGGCTTTATTGAGATATAATTCACATATCAAACAGTTCACTCATTTAAGTCCTACAATCAAAAAATATATTCAAGTAAACCTTTTTGTCTTCACGGGATTGTGTAACCATCACTACAATCTAATTTTAGAACATTTTTGTCCTCCTAAAAGACACATCATACCCATTAGCTGTCACTCCCCATTCCCCTCCCAACATCCCTCTATCCTCAGGCCCTTGCAACCACTAATCTACTTTTGGTCCATAGACTTGCCTATTCTGGACATTTCATATGCATGGTATCATACAATCTGTGGTGTGTCTGTGACTGCCTTCTTTCACTCAGTGGTATGTTTTTGAAGCTTATCCCTGTCATAGCAAGCACCAGTCCTTCATTTCTTTTTGCTGCTGGGTAATTGTCCATCGTATGGATATGCCGCATTCTATTTACCCATTTATCACTTTCTGAAACTTGAGTTGTTTCTACTTTGGGGCTATTAAGAATAATACTCCCATAAGCATTTGTGTATACATCCTAAGTCTCTTTTAGCCTATAGAATTCTCTCTTTAAATTTTTTTCCTTGTAATTTACTCAATTAGGAAACTGGTTTGTCTTACAGTGTTTCCACAGTCTGGATGTCTCTCGTCTTGTCCCTCTTGTGTCATTTGACATTTTTCTGTGCCCTTCTATTTCCTCAAAATTAATATTTAGATCTAAGGGCTCAACCAGGTACAGATTTAAATTTTGTTGGTAAGAATATTTGGTGGAGTTTTGTTCTTTTACCAGGAGGATGATAATATATGGGTGTCTTTTTTTTTTTGATGGTAGCAGACATTAATATCATTGTTCAGCTCTATTAATTTAATAAGGGTTTGGAACTTGGTGCCTATTTTTCAAGAAATTAATATGAGATCTTTTTTGCATTACAGTTTCAAATTTATTTTTCTTGGTATATAGGAAAGTGATTTGTGTATGTATATGTGTGATGTGTGGGTATTATATTTCAGCTGGATATCTTATTAAATTTTCTTATAAGCCTTTATGGTTTTTCACAAGATTTTCTAGAACTTTCTAGCTGATTATGCCATATGCCAGTTACAGTATTTTTGACAGACCCTTCTCTTTTTCTCCTTGCCACAGTGCATCGGCTAGGACTTTAGAACACCGAGCTGCAGCTGCAGAAGCATGAGATGCTTCCTGCCCTTGCTCTTGGTCTCATTATAGGAATCCTTACAGAGATGTTAATACTTACCCAGGCATAGATGTGCACTTAACTTCTCTCTGGTTTTATAGAGTGGCAGCTGATGGAGAAGATCCATACTTCCCTTTGGTTGTGATGCCATGGGCTCTGCATTCAGTACCCACAGAAGAACCCTTAGTTATGCAGGATTCCAGCCAGACTAAGTTTAAAAGAATGTGGCTAGTTGGTCTTTTCCAAATAAGAGGGGAGGGGGTGGTGCTGAGCTAAAGTTGGTTGGGAAAGCTGCAAGTCAAGGACGTAGGGTGGCCTGACCAGAAGCCCCAGAATGTTACTAGCATCACTGTCAGAGCATTTCTATGCCTAGAGCTTGTAGGAGTTGGAGCTGTTGGCACAGAGAGCCCAAGGCTGAGTTTATTTCCTCCAAAGACATGTTAATAGCATGTGGAGTTCACCCCAAGCAAAGAAGATACCTAGGATCTGCCCTGGAAGAAGTGGGGCCAGTCTGGGGAAAGTGCCCTCCCAAAGGCAGTTAGCTGCAGGAGCTGCCCCTATTGGGAACAATGTTACAGCACACCACAGGTGTGGGTGGACCAACAGGTCGGCCCACCCAGCCTGTGGGGTCTTAACTGGAGCAGCGGGAGAATTTTTTCAAATATCTTCCGCCCTTTTTTGTTCTACAAAAAAGGAAGCCAGAGAAGAATTGTACGGTATAGTACTATCAATAGCCTCACAGTATCTCCCAACAAGCTCCCTGGATTAAGGTGGTATCTACTGTTTTTCCATTGTAAAGTTGCAGTTTTTCTCTTTGCAACATCAGCTCAGCCTGAGTTCCTCAGCATTAAGAAAGTTTACCCAAGCACCTTCCAGCACCCAGGCCACTTGGTTCTGTTGAGTGAGCGCTCTGAGCTGGCAAACAGGCAGACTGGAATGTGGGCATCAGGGTACTTAGGACCTTCGGGGGCAGTGCCATCTGCTCCCACTTCACAGGACTGCTGCCACTAGGGTGAACAAAGGGGCCATTAGCACCAAATCCCACTGTACCAACACAGCATGCAATTCTCTGGGAGAAGGGAGAGGTGGGACAGGCCTGGGCTACTAGAGGCACTCCCACCGGTCTTCCCATACCCCACAGGACCCTACTAGGTGGAGTAGATTGCTAGCCAGGAGTATCTGGATATCTGGAGAGACACAGAGGAATAGTCAGTAGGGCAGGCAGATTAAACAATCAGAGTGGGGCATGGAGTTAGGGTGAACATGCAACCAAAAAGACAGTCATTCCAGCCTCAGCCACTCTGTTCATAAGCTGTAAGATTTTGAACCAGATCCCCAAACAGACCGACACACAGACCCCTGGCTAGACAGACTTCTCGAAGGACAAAATCCCAGAGAGACAAACAGACTCCAGAGCGACAGACAGCCAAACAAATGGACAGATTCTTGAACAAATGGGAAGATGTCCGTCCAGGCATCCAGAAAGACCTGTGATCAGACACATGGACACCCCCTGGTGCCCGACAATTAGGTGACCCTAGCCAACCAAAAGACAAAATCCCTCAAGGTAGACCACTCCACCCCTCGAATAGACAGACATTACTCCAGCAGAGAGATACCCCACCTACACAGTCAACTAGCCAGCCATACCACCGCTTGACAGTAATACTTCTGACAGTACGAGAGACCCCAGCCTATGAGAAAGCTAGGCCCTCAGCAAGATAAACATGCCCCCAAAAAGCCAGGTGGACAGATAGATACATGCCCCCCCACTGGATATACAGACCCTCAGTCACTACTCAGAAGATCCCCAGCTGGCCAGACCCCAACTTCTGGGTCAGCATTTCTGCCCCCCAGTCACCACCCATAGATGATATGGGTGGCCCAATGACCCTTCAATGGTGCATCTGCTCTCCAGGTACCACGAGTGTCCAGTGACCTTTAACCTCCAGTGACATCCACTAACCAGAGTCTACACAGACCGTATCACAATCCCATAGTGACTCTTCTTCATTTACTCTGGTATCCACTAGTCCCTAATGACTGCCATTAGTATCCACGAGTACTCAAGGACTAGAGTGTCCATGATTCCTCCCCTGAACATCCATATCTTCTAAAAAGTTTCGTGATACTTCTGTATCCCACCTCCCTGAGTCTTCAAAAACCCATTACCATCCACAAAATCTCAATGATTTCACTGACTTATGCTATTGTGCCCTGAGTAGGAACCCTGAATTCCTATCACCCCAAATCACAATAGCCCTTCAGCTACTTTCACTGCCCCTCACTGACCTCCAATGGCTGCCATTCATATCTGATGACAGTTGCCCATGAACATCCAAAGAACTCTCAATGACCTCCAATGAATTTACTATACACATCTATCCTCAGTGATCACTTGACCATCTTTGAGCCCTTAGAGATGAAACTAATAAATACTGATTCCACCTAACTCCTCAATAAATGAAACATCCCCACTGATCATCCACTTTGACTTCTGTTACTTAAACCTGGGTCAGCAAACCACAGCATCAGGCCACACACGCACACACACACACACACACACACACACACACACACACACGAACGTTTTGTGACATGAAAATTACATAAAATTAGAATTTCAGTGTCCACAAATAGTTTTATTGGAATGTAGTCACACTTATTTCTTTACATGTTGCCTATGGCTGCTTTCACACTGCCATGGAGTTAAGCAGCTGGGACAGAGACCAGAAACAGCAAAGCCAAAGACCAAAGCTTTTTTGAAGAAAAGGCTTTCCCCATCCCTATCTTAAACAACACTCTGATAATCCCCTCATGAATTAAATACACAACCAGTGACTCCGTTGACTCCTCAATTAGGTATGGTACACTGGGCCCCGTGGGTTAATCTTGGACACCTATACAGTCTCAAAGTGGACTGCACAGTCACCCCCTCCAGTGTCACCCCCAGAAGAGTGGGACCCCTACGCTCCTCTGTCTTCTCCAGCCTCCCCTTAGCGCCCCAGGAAACTTGGTCCACAGGTGTCCTCTGGTCTTTTCCCGCCCATTTGCTGCCGGCGAGGGTGTGGAGACAGAAAATAGAAGCTCTTTGAAAGCGTCGAGAACATCTTTCCCCCTGGAACCCACTTCTATGGCCCCGATTCTGTTTTCTGGCAGGGTTAGGCGGGTGGAGAACCTTGTTAAGACAGGATCCTGGTGCCCCCAGCTCCTCTTAGCACAACCCAGAAAAAGGAACCTCAGGAAATACAGGAAAATCGCGCGTCCAGCCGGCCTTTCTCCCAAGCAGCAGTGCCTGGGTGTCAGCTTCGCCCGCGGCGACCTCCCGCGCCCCCCCTCAGGCCCGCCGCTGCCCTCAGCGCGAGGGGCGCCCCCACCCCAGGGGCCTCGGGGCGGACGGCCGCGGCCACCCTGGCCGGAAGCCCTGCCTACCGCTCAAGGGCGCTGCACCCGGGAAGCCAGGCGAGCATGCACGGCCACCTGCCCCGCGCGGGCCCCGTCGGGGGAGGTGGGCCCGGGAGCGGATCCTGCCTGGGATGGTCTGGGGATGATCCAGGGGATCGTCCGGACTCAACCCACATGCCCGGCGCCCCGAAAGAGGGAAGCACTTGCGCTGGACCCAGTTCTCGGCCGCCAGGCCCCGAGCCTGTGGGCGGTACCAGGCCGAGCCGCGGACGTCTAGGCCCACCCGGGCGCCCTGGCGCTTTGCGCGCTTCCACCGGGTCGGGAGGTCGGAGGCGGGGCCTGCGGTCAGGGCCCCCCGCGCTCCAGCAGCCCGCGACCCCGCCGGGCGCGGAGCCAGGAGCCGCACCGTGGTCTCTCTCTCTCTCTCTCTCTCTCTCTCTCTCTCTCTCTCTCTCCATCGAGGGGTTTCTCCTCGTCTCAACGTCCATTTTCCCCTCCCCAGCCCGGCGGTGCCGCACACGCCCTCGGGTCCCCGTGCCCTCTTCCAGCTCCCGGAGAAGTCCCGCCGCTGGCGCAGCAAAGGAAGGCGGGCCCGCCCTTGAGCTGGACACCAGTCCCCGGGCCTCCGCAGGCGCCCCGGTGATCACTTCTGCGGTCATGCGGAAGAAGGGCTCAGGGGAAAAAGAACCAAGAAGCCCTGGCACGGGGTTGGGGGGGGTTGGGGGGGAGGGACGAGGGATGGTAGTGTGGATGCCGGGCTAGGGTGCTTCACCTGGGTCCTCGGACATCAGTTTCTCCTTGGGTAAAACGCGATAAAGACTAAACTGGTGTGGGCAAAACAACAACAACAACAAAAAAACCGCCTAGTACTTCTTGAGCGCTCACTTTGTGGAGCCTATGTCACTAGTTATAAATGTTCTAAACATTACAATGCCACGATGCAAGCCATGCATAAGGAATGCTAATGCAGCGTCGTAGACATTGGTAGGTATTATCTATTATCGTTTGATTTTTAATAGCTGCTGCTGATGGAAATACACTTCACGAATTATAATAATCGAACAGTAACAAAGTATCTGTAATATTTTGTTACAAAAATAACGTTATACATTATAATTTATATGCATTGTATATTGTCATATAGACCATATACCAATCATGTTTGTTCTATTAAATACATATTATGTTACAATTGTTTACAATACAATGTAACACAGATTGAATGTTTAAGGGGTAGATGCTGAGAGGTTTGAATGTAATCCTCACTGTTGCACTTCCTGGAGGGGGAACTTTCTGCAAGTTACTCAACCATGTAGGTTTTCTTAACCTACACCGTGGACACATCAATCATAGTCGTCGTCCCCCCCCCCCCCACCTTAGGGTGACTTTTGTAATGATCCAATGTCCTTAGCACAGAGCCTGGCATAGGGAAGGTGCTCTGAGTTGCTGTTACTATTGTATCACTACAATTACCCAGGCACCATGCTATCTTGAGAGTCTGCACTCACTTCTCACAGGCCAGGTACCTTGTATCCCTACAAGTGCTTCTGAGCCCAAGAACCCTGACCTGGCTCCCGTCTTCCTCTCTCCTCCTTCCCTTGGGTTCGGCTCATGGTGACTTCCTCCAGGACATCCTTGCCCGCTCAGCAGCGTGGAAGACTGAGGGTGTGTGCTCCACTGAGTCTGGCAATCTGCCAGGGAATGTGAGGAAGAACCGCTACAAAGATGTGTTGCCGTGTAAGTTGGGGACTTCCAGAGAGAGTCAGTGCAGCTCTGCACACATCCTCCACCCCATGGCAGTGTAGTCCACCCTAGTATGCTCCCAGCACATTTCCTCTCAGATCCTTGCAGTGGCTACATTTCTTCCTGAGCAACTCATGAATGCACCCAGGCGGGATACCTGCAGGGTGTGCAATAATCCTGCTGGCTTTCATCCAGGAGGCTGTCAGGACCTTGGTGACCCTGTCATCCCAAAGCACTTTTCTCACCTCTCCCGCTGGCAGATGATCAGACACCTCTCCCGCTAGCAGATGATCCAGGAGGAGGGACATGGCGATTACATCAATGGCAACTTCATTTGGGTCAGGCTGGGAGTCAGGGAGGGGTGGATATGGTGGGGGTGACAGCAAGATCTTGGTGGTGCTAGCAACTCCCTAATCCCGGGTCCAAAAGTACCAATTCTTGTAGTGACTCCTCTATTACTCTCTTTAATTTTTTGTTGATTTTTCCCCCCTTTTATTCATGGTGCTCATCCCTGCAGTGTTCACAACCCCTTTACTGCTGGTCTTCCCACCACAAGTCTGTACCATAGACCATAAGGCCCTATACCAAGCTGTCCCTGGTACAGTTCTGATCTCTGTGTTTGCCTCTCTCTCTCCTTTATTCATTTCATTCTAGCCATTTTGGCCTTTGCTGTTGCTCAGATGTGACAGGGATGGCTCTGTCTCAGGGCCTCTGCCTTGGCTGTTCCTTCTGCCTGGAACATTCTTCTCCTTGGCTTGCTCTACTACCACCTTAAGATCTTTCCTCAAATGCTACTTCCTCCATGAGACTTTCCTGGATTTTACACCATTTAAAACTTCCAGCACTTCAACTCTCCTTCCCTTGTCCTATTTTCCTTTTTTCTTCACAATTCTTATTACTTCTAGCATATACTATAATCTACACATTGTTTATTCTCTATCTTCTTGATTAGAAGATAAGTCCAGGAGTTCAGGGATCTTTGTTTTGTCTGTTAGCATACATTAGTTACTCAGTAAATGCATATCAACATCAAAGGCACATGATTTCTACATTCTGGCCTATTCAATAGACAGGGATGGGGGGTGGGGTAAGTACTGCCCAGAAATGAATGGCTGATCATGGAGTCTGTACAATCTGTAGTGATGCCCCTTTTTTATTCCTGATTTTGGTAATTTGTGATTTGTCCATCTCTCCCACATAAGTCTGGCTAGAGTAAAGATGAACTGTTGTACTGGATCTATCTTGCTGCCCTTTTTGGTAAATAAAATGTATTAGAATACAGCCACACTCATATGTTTGTATATTGTATATACCCGCTTTTATGCTAAAATGGTAGAATTCACTAGTTGCAATTTTGGTGGATTGAATGGCTTGCAAAGTATAAAATGTGTATTATCTGGCCCTTTATAGAAAATGTCAGCCATCTTTGGGTTAGAGATTTGTCAATTGTTGTTGTTGTCATTGTTGTTGTTTTCTTCAAAGAACCAGCTTTGGGTTTGATTCATTTTCTCTATTTTTTTCATTTCCTATTTCATTAATAACTTTTCATCTTTTTCATTTCCTTCCTAATGGTTATTTAGGTTTAATTTTCTCTTACTTTTCTAGTTTCTTCCATTTAGATAATTGATTTGAGATTTTTCTTTTTTCATATATAAGCATTTAATGTTATTTATTTTTTCTTTAAGCACTACTTTAGCTATATCTCACAAACTTGATATATTCATTGTATTTTATATTTCATTTAGTTCAAAATATTTCTAATTTCCCTTGTGATTTCTTCTTTGACTCATGGTATTTGATCATGGTTGTACTTAGTTTCCAAATATTTGAGGACTTTCTCATGTTTATTCCTGTTATTAATTTTTAGTTAATTCTATTGTAGTCAAAGAACAACTTTATATGATTTCAGTCCTTTTAAATAGGGTATCCCTGGGTGGCTCAGCGGTTTGGCACCTGCCTTTAGCCCAGGGGTATCAAGTCCCGCATCGGGCTCCCGGCATGGAGCCTGCTTCTCCCTCTGCCTGTGTCTCTGCACCTCTCTCTCTCTCTCTCTGTCTATCATGAATGAATAAATACATCTTAAAAAAACATTTAAAATATACTGGACTGGTCTTATGGCTATGAATATAGTCTATCTTGGTAAATACTCTTGGTACACTTGAAAAGAATGTGTATTCTGCTTTTGTTGAATGGAGTGTTCTATAAATATCAATTCAGTCAAATGTATTGTGTCTTTTTTGAAAGACACGTTAATATTCTTTGTATCTTTACTATATTTTATAAATCTTTCCTAATTTCTTTTCTCTAAATGTTTTATCAATTGCTAAGAGAGGAGTGATGAGATCTCCAACTTCTCAATAACTGCCAATTAGGACAAATATTATTCACATCTTATTGTTTGTATGATTTTGGGGGGGCTGATTGCCCTATTATTTGCTAAAATAATGTTTAAGGCCCTAATTTTATTTTTTTTATTTTATTTTTTAATTTATGATAGTCACACACACAGAGAGAGAGAGAGAGAGAGGCAGAGACACAGGCAGAGGGAGAAGCAGGCTCCATGCCCCGGGAGCCCGACGTGGGACTCGATCCTGGGTCTCCAGGATCGTGCCCTGGGCCAAAGGCAGGCGCCAAACTGCTGCGCCACCCAGGGATCCCTAAGGCCCTAATTTTAAAATTATCTTTTTGTCTCTTCACTTCTGTCAGTTTCTACTTCAGCTATTTTAAAACTTTGTAATTGAGTGTATACACAGGATTATGTCTTCCTGATGAATCAATCCCTTTTCCAATATGTAAGGTTCCTTTCTATTTCTGTTAATATACCTTTTCTGAAGTGTACTTTGATATTACTATAGCCATTTAAATTGTGCTAAAGTGTGCATGATATATTTTTCCATTCTTTTACTTTTTAAAAAAACATTTTATTTATTTATTCATGAGAGACACACAGAGGGAAGCAGAGACATAGGCAGAGGGAGAAGCAGACTCCCTGTGGATAGCCCAATGTGGGACACAATCCCAAGACCCCAGGATCACAACCTGAGCTGAAGGCAGGAGCTCAACCACTGAGCCACTTAGGTGTCCCTCTCATTGTAGTTTTGGTTTGAATTTCCCTGATGATGAGTAATGTTGAGTGAGCATCCTTTCTTGTGTCTTTTGGCCATTTGGATGTCTTCTGTCCATTTTTAAATGGATTATTTGGTTTTTGGCTGTCGGGTTGAATCAGTTCTTTATGTATTTTGTATATTAACCCTTTATCCGATATATATTTGCAAATACTTTTCCCATTCAATAGGTTGGGTTTTTTTTTTTTTTTAGTTTTGTTTCTTTCCTTCATTAAACAAAAGCTTTTTATTTTGCCATGGCAATCAGATAAAAAAAGGAATAAAAGGCATCCAAATTGGTAAGCAAGAAGTAAAACTTTCACTATTTGCAGATGACACGATACTATATATAGAAAACCCTAAAGATTACACCAAAAAAATGCTAAAACTGATAAATGAATTCAGTAAGGTCGCAGGATACAAAATCAATATGCAGAATTCCATTGTATTTCTATATACTAATAATGAAGCAGCAGAAAAAGAAATTAAGAAAATCCGATTTACAGTTGCACCAAAAATAATAAAATACCTCAGAATAAACTTAACCAAGGAAGTGAAAAACCTTTACACTGAAAACTATAAAACACTGAATAAAAGAAAATTGAAGATGACACAAATAAATGGAAAGATATTCCATGCTCATGGATTGGAAGAAGAAATATTGTTAAAATGTCCATACTATCCAAAGCAGTGTACAGATTTAGAGCAATCCCTATCAAAATACCAACAACATTTTTCAGAGGAGTAGAACAAACAATCTTAAAATTTGTGTGGAACCACAAAGACCTCAAATACCTAAAGCAATCTTGAAAAAGAAATATAAAGCTGGAGATACCACAATTCCAGATTTCAAGTTATGCTACAAAGATGTAGTAATCAAAACACTATGCTACTGCCATAAAAAATAGACACATAAATCAATGGAATAGGACAGAAAGTCCAGAAATAAACCCATGAGTATATAGTCAATTAATCTATTAATCTTCAACAAAAGAGGCAAGAATATGCAATGGGAAAAAGAGTCTTATCAATACATGTTCTGGGAAAACTAGATATCTACATGCAAAAAAGAAAGAAAGAAAAGACACAGAGAAAGAAAGAAAGAAAGAAAGAAAGAAAGAAAGAAAGAAAGAAAGAAAGAAAGAGAAAGAAAGGGAGGGAGGGAGGGAGGAAGGAAGGAAGAAAGAGGAAGAAAGAAACTGGACGACTTTCTTCCACTATACACAAAAATAAACTCATAATGGATTAAATATTTAAATGTGAGACCCAAAACCATAAAAATTGTAGAAGAGAGTACAGGCAGTAATTTCTCTGGCATTGGTCATAGCAACATCCTTCTTGATATGTCTCCTGAGGCAAAGGACATAAAAGCAAAAACTATTGGGACTGAATCAAAATAATCTCTTTTTAAAAACACCTTTATCAAGATGAAATTTATCCATTGAAAGTGTGCAATTCGTTTTAGTATATTCCTGAGTTATGTAACCATCACTGCCAATAAATTTTAGAACATTTTCATCACCCCACAAAGAAATCTTGTATCTATGGCCATTATTCCCCATTTCTCCACCGTAGGTAACCCCTACTCTATTTTTCAGGTTTGACTACTCTGGACTTTTCATATAAACTGAATCATATGATATGTTGTGTTTGTGACTGGATCCTTTCAGTTAGCATGTTTTTAAAATTCACGCATATTATAGCATGTGTCAGTACTTAACTCCTTTTCATTGCTGAACAGTATTCCATTGAATGTATCTATTACATTTTATTTATTCACTTAAGTTATTCTTAAACTTATTCAGTTTATAGAATGTAACTTGTTTCCACTTTTTGGCTATTATGAATAATGCTGCTATGAACGTTTGAACGTTTGTGTGCAAGTTTTTGTGTAGAAGTATGTTTTCAATTCTCTTGGGTATATACCTAGAAGTGGAATTGTTACATCATGTGGTAACTCTATTCTTAATATTTTGAGGAACTGTCAAACTGTTTTCCACAGCTATATCATTTTACATTCCAATCAGCAAGTATGAAGATTCAAATTCTTCATATCCTCACCAACACTTGTTATTTGTCTTTTTCCCATTGAATAATCTTGTTATTCTTGTATAAAATCAATTTATTATAAATGTAAGGGTTTATTTATGGACTCTCAATTCTATTCCATTGATTGGTATGTCTTCGTACCAGTACTATACATTTTTTATTATTGTAACTTTATAGTAAGTTTTGAAATCAAGAAGTGTGAGTCCTCTAAATCTCTTCTTTTTTCTTTTTTTTAAAAATAATTTTATTTATTTATTCATGAGAGACACACAGAGAGAGGCAGAGACATAGGTAGATGGAGAAGCAGGCTCCTCTCAGGGAGCATGATATGGGACTCCACCCCAGGACTCCAGGACCACGCCCTGAGCCAAAGGCAGATGCTCAACTGCTGAGCCACCCAACTGCTGAGTGACCCAAATTTTGGGTCCCAAAATTTCTTTTTTTTTTTTCAAGATCATTTTGACTTTTCTGGGTCACTTGCTATACAGAAAATAGTAAGATAGCAGGCTTATGATTTAAAAAGACCTTCCTGGGATCCCTGGGTGGCGCAGCAGTTTAGCGCCTGCCTTTGGCTCAGGGCGCGATTCTGGAGACCTAGGATCGAATCCCACATTAGGCTCCCGGTGCATGGAGCCTGCTTCTCCCTCTCCCTCTGGCTGTGTCTCTGCCCCCCCTCTCTCTCTCTCTCTGTGTGTGTGACTATCATAAATAATTAAAAAAAAAAAAAAACATAGGGATCCCTGGGTGGCGCAGCGGTTTGGCGCCTGCCTTTGGCCCAGGGCGCGATCCTGGAGACCTAGGATCGAATCCCACATCGGGCTACCGGTGCATGGAGCCTGCTTCTCCCTCTGCCTGTGTCTCTGCCTCTCTCTCTCTCTCTCTCTCTCTGTGACTATCATAAATAAATAAAAAAAAGAAAAAAAACATAAAAAAAATAAAAGTTAAAAAAAAATCAGCTCCTGCCTAGAAATAGGGTTTCTAATAAAAGTGGCTCCGTATGCTGGAACTGTTTATATAAACAGTATGGTTTATGTGAACACCTGCTCTCCCTTCTGGGAGCCTGAAGTTTCAATACATGCTAATCAGAGGGTGCCTGCATGCCACATGGAGTGCCCTAGTGAAAACCCTGGGGACGGATTGCCTAATGAACTTCCCTGTGGACATACATACATGTTGCCACAAATCATTGCTGGGGAAATTAAGCACACTGCATGCAACTTCACTGGGAGAAGACTCTTGGAAGTAGGAACCTTGTTTCCCTCACTTTGCCCTGTGCATCTTTTTCCTTTGCTGATTTTATTCTGTATCTTTTATTGTAATAAATCATAACCATGAGCATAACTCTATGTGGAGTCCTGTGAATCCCGCTAGTAATTATCAAACGTGAGGGTGGTCTTAGGTATCTACGACACATTCATTAATGTTAATGTATTAACGTTAAGATCAGCTTGCCAATATCTTCAAAAAGCCTTCTGGGATTTTGATAATGAATGCATTGAATCTATCAATTTGGGAGCTGTTGTCATTTTAACAGTATTGTCTTCCATTCCATGAACATGCATATTTTCCCATTTATCTAGGTCCTCTTTAATTTCTCTTAGCAATGTTTATAGTGTTTAGTTCAGAAATCTTGCACTTTTGTTAAATTTATTTCTAAGTAGTTTATACTTTCTGATACTGTTGTAAATGGAGTAATTTTCTTAATTTCATTTTAAGTTTCCTTATTGCAAATCAAATAGTTTTCACTATATAGAAATACAGTTGATTTTTCTGTATTGATATTATATCCTGCAACCTTGCTGAACTCATTTATGAGCTTTAATAGTGTGGGTGTGGGTATGTGGAAACCTTAGGGTTTTCCATATATAATATGATGTTGTCTGCAAATTGAGATGATTTTGCTGCTTCTTTTCTAATTCAATACTCTTCCTTTCATCTTCCTTCCTTCCTTCTTCCCTCCTGTCTTCCATTTCTTTTCTCCTATCTTCACTGACTAGATCTTTCAGTACAAAGTTGAACAGAAGTGGCAAGTGCAACCTGACTTTAGGGGCAAAACATTCAGTCTTTCTCCATAAATCTAAGGACTGGTTGTGGATTTTGTTTTGTTTTGTTTGTAGATGTGCGTATTAGTGTTTTTGTTGTTTTAATCAGGCTAAGGAGTTTCCTTCTTTTCCTAGTTTCTTTTGTACTTTTATCATGAAAGGGTGTTGGATTTTATAAAAAAAATTTTCTGTATCTATTCAAATGATCATGTATTTTTATTTTCTATTAATATGGTATATGATATTAATTGATTTTTTTATATAGAGAACCAATCTTTCATTCCTGGGATTAATCCAATTTTGTCATGGTGTATAACCCTTTGCTGGTATTTTGTTGAGGATTTTTGTGACTGTATTAATGAGATTGGTTAGTATCATTCTTTTCTTGTGATGTTTATGTCTGGTTTTGGTATCAGATTAATACTGGCCTCATACAATATATTGGAAAATGGTCCTTCAATTTTTTTTGGAAAAAATTTGTGAATAATTGCTATTAATTCTTCCTTGTTTGGCAAAATTCACTAGATTACCCTTTTTTTAAAATATTAAAAATGGAGAAATATCTTTTACATTTTGCCACATATTTGCTTTTTCTATACTCTTCATTCTTTTGTGTTCATCCATATCTCATCTAGTATTATGTTCCTTTTGTACAAACAGCTTACTTTAATATTTCTCACAGTACCAATTTGTTTGTGATGAATTCTCTCAGCTTTTGTTTGTCTGAAAGGCTTTTTAACTTCAGCATTTTTAGAATGTCACACCTTTGACCTCTGGCTTGCAGTTTCTGACAAAATTCTGTCATTCTTGTCTTTGTTCCTTAACATGTAATATGTCCTTTTGTGTGTGATGCTTTTAAGTTCTCTCTGTCTCTCTCAGCAATTTGATCATGATCTGCCTTGATATGGCCTTCCTTATGTTTATTCTCTCTATGGTTGACTTTCTTGGCTTTGTGGGTTTGTGGTTTCATCAAATTTGGAAAAGTTTCCAATGATTATTTTTTCAAATGTAGTTTCTCATCGCTTCTCAGCCTTTTGGCTAAGATCAAGTGTAGTATCAAATGTAGTTTCTGTTCTCTTCTCTCTCTCCTCTCCTTCTTCTGGACTCTAGATATGCATACATTATGCATACCATTTGGTATATTTCCACAGGTAATTGACTCTTTGTTCATTTTCCCTAGTAATTTTTTCTCTTTTTTTCATTTTTTAAGAAAGATTTTATTTATTTATTCATGAAAGACAAAAAGAGAGAGGCAGAGGCATAGGCAGAGGGAGAAGCTGGCCCCTGGAAGGAGCCCCATGCGGGACTCCATCCCAGGACCCTGGGATCATGACCTAAGCTGAAGGCAGATGCTCAGCCACTAAGCCATCCACGCATCCCTTTTTTTTCATTTTAAATAGTTTCTATTGCCATATCTTTGTGTTTATTGATCTTCTGTCTAATCTGCTATTTTACAGTGAATTTTTTATTTCATGTATTTTATTTTCCCCTCTAATGGGGTCTAAAGACCTCCATTTAGGCTTCATATATATATATATATATACATATATATATATATATAATCTTTTGTTTCACTTTCATTATGTTTGTGTTTTCCTTTTCATCTTCAAGTATATTTAAAATATATTTTTTTAATTGCTTAAAGGTCTTTGTCTAATTCTTTCTTCATCCCTATTAGATCTTCTGTTCACATATTTTTCTCCTGGTTATGGATCATGTTTTCTTGTGTCTTTGTATGTCTAGTAATTTTTTTGGATGCTGGACATTTCTAATTTTACACAGGTAACTGTTGGATTTTATCGTCTTCCTTTAAAGAGCATTGGACTTTTTCTGGAAGACAGTTAAGTTACTTTTGAATGTTTGATCACTTTAAGGTTTGTTTTAAAGCTTTTGTAGGGCAGGTCTAGAGCGGCCTTTACTCTAGAACTAATTTCACTCTACTTCTAATATGTATGTGATCCTTCTTGGTTCCCTATTGAATGCCCTTATGGTCAATCAGGTCTCTCCACTCTGGTTGGAGAGAATATAAATTATTTCTGTCCTATTCTGAACATTACAGGAAATGTTCATCTTAGGTCCTTAGTTATTCTTTCATGGGAAGTTATTCTTGCCTGGCTTCATGGAGTTTCATGATGCTCAGATTATTATTTAGCTAATAATACTCAAGGGGACCATATGCAGATCTCTGGACTTTTTAAACTTTTGTTTGCATGCCTCTGTTCTTTCCAGGACTCTGCCCTTCCAATTCTAGATGCTTTGGCCTTTCTGAGCCATGATCTCTGGCTCCTCAATTCAGTGGGATCATTGGACTCTCCGTGTCCTGCAGCCTGGTGACTGCCTCTAGGCAGTAACCTGGGGCAGTCATAAGATTTAACCTATGTGTTTCTCTTTGTTCAGTAATAACAATCCTGCAATGCCTGTTTCCCAATGTCTGAAAATAGTGGCACGTATCTTCTGTCCAGCTTTTTAGTTGTTTACGATATGAGAGTATTCTGACCTGTCTTCCTCCTACATAGTCAGAAGCTCAAGTCTCCACTGTGTCTGTGTGTTTAATCTGACAGGGTGCTGCCAGCTGGCATGCATTAAAGCTGCAGCTATATGTGCTTCCACCAGCAATGCCTGAGGTGTCCTGTGAGGGTGTAGGTGTATAGATCTGGAACTCTATAAAGCAGACTGCTGCTCTTCACTCCCTGCCCTTTCTCCCTTGGCTTTTGCAGAAAAAGTGTGAGCATTTTCTGGGCCCAAGAACGGGAACCACTACAGATTGGGCTTTTTTGCATCACCCTAGTGAGCTGGGGCAGAGGTGGGAATGGTGTTTTATGAAGGGAGGTTTCACAGAAGATTCTCAGGGAAGCTTTTGGATTGGGCCTGAAAGGATGGATAGTTTTTCCACAGCCCCCTCACACTGCAGGGCACTCTCTGGTATTAGCACGCAAATAGTCAGAACTCCATATATACATTGCTTTTGCATTCTGACTATGATCATGGTTATCTCTGTTATATAAATGCCTGGTTAGGTCCTTAAAATCCTTATTTCCTTTACCATTTCAGAACTCCAGAAAATCTCTCACTTCAAGTCATGTATAGTTGGTACATAATAAGTACAATAAAACTCTTGCTGTACAACAAATCTTTTTTTTTTTTTTTACCACCATAAATGAGCTTGTTGGAGTTTTAAATCACAATTCTTTCTCCCCTCTATCAAATGTTTCCTTCAGGAAAGCCATGGAAGACGTTTGAGCCAAATGCATTTTTTAAAATATGTTGTTTGACTTTGATTTTTAATCAGAAATGCTTTGTTTGCTGTAAATGTCTTTTGGCGCCTTTGTTCTCCTCTCTCTTCCCACTTGCCCCACATCCTCAGACAAGGGAGACATGGCTGAATACAGACATCGTGCTCAGGACTCTCCAGGTCACTTTTCAGAAGGTACTGAAAGGGGAGGCGGAGGCTCCCATAAGGGCAGAGCTGTTTCCTGTTTGTTTTCTCATTTGTAAAATGGGCATTAGCAATAATACCTATCTCCTCCATTACTACCTGTTGGATTTAAACAGACGATGTCTGACATGTAGTAGATGCTCCATACATGCTTTTTTTAATCTGCCCCTCTTTTCCCGTGTTTCAGAAATGCCCTTCTGTGTATCAGTTGCAATATATGTCCTGGCCAGACAGAGGAGTCCCTAGCAATCCTGAACATGTGCTTACCATGGTGGAGGAAGCCCGTCGCCTCCAGGGATCTGGCCCCAGCCCCCTCTGTGTCCACTGCAGGTTAAAGAAATGGGTTTTATGGGAGTCTGGTGAGACAGAGGTGATTAGGAGTGGGGGAGGGAAGTAGGGAGGTCAGTGCAGGGCCTGAAGTCATTATCATAGTTTGAGGGCCTCTTTTGAAAAACCTGAAGCCACACTAGCTCATGCTGCATCAACTGAAATTTAGCATTTATTGAGCACAGACTGCCTGTTGGAGAGTAAGCACAAAGTTGATGCTCAACAAATATAAGCAATTAAAAAGTTTTTTCTTTTAAATTGTAATCTGGGGATTCTGAGAATCAAAAGGTGCTGCAGGGGATCCTTCATTATGGCCTTCACTCCCAACTTCAAATGCCCCATATAAAAGGGGTTGTGGACAGGTCCTGACCAAGCTTACACTTACTCTTGCTTGTCAGTGTAGGTTGTGGGTGAACAGATGTCCTGTGCACTGTGGATTATGTGAGACAGTTACTCCTGACCCAGGTACGAATGTGTGTGGTTATGTGCAGTACAGGTCCAATGCCCACCAGGTCCTGCTCATGTGCTCTCTCTGCTCCAGATGATCCCACCTAACTTTAGCCTCTTCAACGTGGTCCTGGAGATGAGAAACCAGAGGCCTGCAGCTGTGCAGACAGAGGTGAGAGGCTCAGTCTCCTCCATCCACGGTCACATCCCTCCTCCTCTTGTCTTCCCTTTTTGATGATTCCTCTTCCCCCACCAGGAGCAGTACAGGTTCCTATACCACACAGTGGCTCAGATGTTCTCAGCACTCCAAAATACCAACCCTCTTTACCAGAATTTCAAGGAGGTACCAAGGCCCCCTTCCTACTGTCTTCCTGTCCACCATCAACACCCTCAGAGACCAGGACCCAGAGTAGAAGTCTTTGGCCACCATCATTGCATCTAGTCCATGGACTCCTTCTGGGAGCAGGGGCTGACAATGATATCCTCCTTGCTGCCTTATCAGACTATTCCTCTTAAGCTTAATCCTCCCACCCACCCCCGCCCCACCCCTACCCCTGCCCCTGCCCTTGCCGCCCCCCCCCCCCCCCAGAGTCCATGGTCACCTTCAGCAGGGGTCTGGCCAGTTTCCTCCAAGCTTCATACCCCTCCCCTCCTGTCTTTCCCCAGCATTGTGGCCCAGTCTACGAGGACGCCCTGTCCTTCCAGACCTCCCTGGCCCTCACCACCACAGCACGCCCAGTTGGTGAGGTCCTCAGGTACCCAGCTCCATCTCCTCATTCTTCCCTTCCTAATTTCTCAGCCTCAGAGGCTAACCCTCCCCTTGCCCTCGGAACACCAGCCCTTCCATGTTTAGTCTACCAAATAATCACTGGCTCTTTGAATTGAGTCGGGGAGCCAGCCCCCATATGACACTTTGATCCCAGAGATCCCATTGCCTCTGCTTCTGAGACTGGCCCCTGGTCAGCCCTCTCTTTGCTTCCCCGGTCATTAATTTCGCAAACACTGCTTGATGCTGCCCACTTGTCAGGCCTCGTGTCAGGTGCTGGGGCACAGGGTCCGTCTCCCTGTGCGGCAGATCCCAGCCCCTCGTCCTTGAGACCAGCTCACCATTTTGAGCCTGTCCCTCCCTCCCCGTTAGATGCCACTTCCTCATTCTTGATTCAAACGTCTACCCAGGAGCGACCACCCCGCAACACCAGCTCCCCGCCCCGTCCCCCGCACGGCTGTCCGCCCGCCCTCCCCGCCCCGTCCGCCTCCCCGGCCGGCGCCGAGGCGCAGAGCCCAGGCCCGGAGCGCAGAGCCCGGAGCGCCGAGCCCGGAGCCCAGCCGTGGGCCCCGCGGGCCCCGCGGCCGCCGCGCGGGCGGAAAGGAAGCCGCGCTCCCCGCCCCCTCCTCCGGCCCCGGCGTTTCACTTCCTCCCCGGCCTCCGCGCCCGCGGGAGCATCTTGGAGCGCGGGCCCCCGGGCTCGCCATGGCCGACACGTACGCGGTGGTGCAGAAGCGCGGGGCGCCGGCGGGCCCCGGGGCGGGCGCGGGCGCGGGGGCGCGGGGCGCGGGCGCGGAGGAGGCACCGCTGTACAGCCAGGTGGGGCCGCGCGCCCGGAGGCCGCCGGCACACGCTGAGGACGCGCGGGGGCTGCTGCCCGGCGGCGGTGAGTCGGGCGGGCCGCGGCGCTGGGCGGGGGGGGCCGGCGCCCACCTCCCCTCCCCCTGCCCCCGCCCCCGCCCCCGCCCCCGCCCCCGCCCCGGCCGCAGACGCGTCTTGCTGGGGTCGGGAAGGCCCTGGCGGCCCCGAGGACCCCTGCCCCGCAGCGCTGCCCGGCCGGGCCACGCCTCTGGGGCTGTTGCCGCACCGCGCGCCGGGCAGGACCACTGCCACGGTCGGAAGTGCCCAGACCTGGCCGCGAGTCCCCGGCGACGCCAGCCGGTCCAGGGCTAGCCCGCCGCGGCGACACCGCCCCCCCCTCCCCCCAGGCCCCGGCAGCGCGGGGTCGGTGCCCCCATGTGTGCCCGGGCTCCGTGGGGCTGAGTCGATCCGTGGGGGCGGGGGTGGTCGTTCTGCCCACAGCTCCTGCCGACCAGAGCCCTGCCGGGCCTGATGCCTATGAGGATGTGGTGGATGGCCCTCAGACCGGTGGGCTAGGTAAGTCAAAGGCTGGGTTGCTGGGCTTCCGCAGCTTCGACTGAATCCCAGGATTTGGGGGTGTAGGGATGGTGGCACGGGGCCCACACTCTCCGAGTCCTGTGGTCTGGCTTCAGCCCCCCCACAAGGGCCTGGAGGCTTGAGGGTGACCTTCCACATGTCTCCACACCTCAGCTTCTCCATGAAACCCTTCTTCCAGGCTTCAACCTGCGCATTGGAAGGCCCAAAGGGCCCCGGGACCCCCCTGCTGACTGGAGCCAGGTGTGAGTGCGCAAGCTGCCTGCCTGTTGCCCCCCCATGAGCACCTGCACTGCTGACGGCCGTGCTCTGCTATGTGAAGTGCTGGGAATGGGAATGCTGGTCCTGGATCAAAATAAAAGTTTCTCAGGGTGGAAATATAGGGGCTTTGCCCCAGTGATTATAGCATTCAAAGCCTGAGGCTGGGGGAGGTAGTTGGAAGATAATGGCTGGTAAGGCTGCAGTGAACAGATTCAAGAATAAACATCAGGAATGGGTCCAACCCCAGGGGACTAGTCAGGTTCTCCCAGGTGTGAAGAAGAGGATGGACAGATGGGCTTCTATAAATTGCCCCCATCGTCCATAATGCACTAGTTCATCTCGATAGTTGAACCTCTCTCACTTAAGACACTCAGCTGGATACAGAAAGGGGTGGGCCGTGAAAAAGACTGATGGATGCTTCCCCACCCTGCCGTCACCATTCAGACAGATCCAAGCCAGGTATAACAACCCAGCAGACTGATTTCAAACAGGTAAAAAGATCCCCAGATGGGTATGCAGACAGATGGGCCCCCAACTGGGACAAGTAGATAGCCATATACAGCCAGATCTTCAGAGGGACAGACCACAGCTGGAAGGATGGACCTCCAGTCAGAGAGAGAAATCAACTAACAGCCTGACAGACCAGCCCCAGCAAGAGAGACCATAAAAAACAACCCTCTCCTGGCTAGGCAGCCAGCCAGACACCAGCCAGATGGACCTCTAGGTGGACAGACTCCCAGACAGACATAAACAAATCCCTAGCTGAACAGGCACACAGACATCCTCTCAGCTAGACAGACCTACCCCCAAGTGAGTGGACAGACTAACCTAGTCAGACTCCTCTCTAGCCAGATGGACTCTCAGCCAGACCCTTGATTGTACAGACAGCCTCTCAACTTAGCAATAGACGTCTAGGTGAACTTCTAGATGGTTGGATAGTCCCCATCAACTCACCAATTCCAAAGAACCCACATTTTAGCAGACAAATTGATGCACCACCTGCTGAGAAGACTGCCAGGTGGATCCCCAGGCAGTCAACAAGCCAGATAAGTAGACAAACGCTCAGGGAGATAAGCATCCTAAGCCTGACAGATTGCCCACCATCTACCAACTTGGTATTCATTGCACATCAGATCCTTCAAACAGGTTAGATATTTGCTAGCCAGATCGACCTCCAGTCTCTCAGAGAGGATAGGGCCGCATTGGCACATGAACTCCTAGTCAGGCACATAACAGATGACTCCAGCCAGACAGTGAGGCACTGTGCTCAGGCAGAGATAAATAAACCCCAAGCCAACTGGCCAGCCATATCCCAAACTGGACAGCCAGATGAACAGGTGGACCCTCATCTGGAGAGATAAATGGACCCCCAACAACTCCGATTCCATTTAGACAGATCCCCACCAGATAGACCCTAGTCAGACAGTAAGACCCTCAACTAGACTGAGTCTGAGCCGTTCACATAGACCCTTAGCCAGACAAACACCCAGCCCTTGAACTGACAGCAGATGCACACAGATTGCTAGTTTGGCAGACAGGTCTGCAGCTGGCAAAACAGACATCTAGCCTCATAGATGGACTGACAACAGACTGACAGATCAGTCTGTAGCCAGATAGGCTGATAAATCTCCAAGTAGATAGCTAGAAAAGTAAACTCCAGCAGACTGAATGCCAGCTTGATAAGACCCTCAGAAAGATCCCCAGCTAGACAGACACTGCATGAGCCAGACAGATCTCCAACTGGACAGATAGAAAAATGGGCCACCCAGCCAGAAAACAAGCAATCCTCCATCAAGATAGATCTTCAAACCAGACAACCCCAACTGAACAGAAAGACGAGATTAAATTTACACTTGATGCTAAATTTACACTTGATCAAAACCCTGATCCTACTCTGTGAGCCTCTCTCCTGATGTGATTTTCCTGACAATGTCTAGTTCATTCAGGTGGATTCCCACCCATCCCTCCTCAGCAAAGTGCCCTCCCAAGGCTGTTGGAGAGCGATCCTGTGTCTGTGATGAGCATGGACCACTGAGGCCATCGCCAGCCACCTGCCCAGCCAGGCCCACATCCCTCATTCAGTTACTGTGAGAATTCAGTGAAAGAGAGAATATAAAGATTTAGTTCAGGAGCTTATGCTTGATAAATGTTAGACCATAATCAGATCTTGGCTCCTACCCTCAGTACAGGTTCTGAGAAAAGTCATTTTCCCTTTGAGTGTTAGTAAAAGGAAAGTGAAACTTGCCTTCCTTGGCCACAACAGTGCTTGCTGGCATTGGACTTAACTTGTCAAGTGCTATAAGGTCTCTGCACAAGAAGCAGTTCAACCAGCAGAAACCTGGAATTGCAGAGAAACCTAGGGATTCTCCAGCTTAATGGGGACCAGGAGGCCAGCATCACCCGGAGTGATGAGGTGGAGCTGACCTTGGTGGAAAGAGGCAGGAAGGAGGACCCAAAGCTACTGGTAACGGGAGATTTGAGGTGTCATTTAGAGTGGAAACTGATCTCAAAAATATTAAGTTCATTTGGCTCCAGAGACTAGAAAGGGAAAAGCAGTAGTATCTTGGAGGAGAGGCAGTCTATGGCAAAAGGAAGAAGCATATTTCCCTCCACAGAGGAGGGAAACCAGTGTTAATTAAAACATTGGTCTCTGGGGTCTGCCCTGAGGCTAGCACCGACTCAGCTCAATTTCCTACCAGAAACCATTATGGTGGGGTGCAGTAGACCCTTTTGGGGAAGATCTTTTTAACAATTAGGTCTGAGGCTAAACTGTTTGCAATCCTTAGCTGCCCATTCCAAACTGAAGAGTTGTTCTGCTGAAAGTGAGAAGAGCTTCCATGCTTTGTGATTATCAGCAGGAAGATGCCCCAGCAACATAGAAAAACCTATAGGATTGCAAGGCAGAGCATTCAGAATGCTGGGCTGGGCTCTTTACATATTTTATCTCATTCTGTCTGTAAAACAATATCTGTGAGTAAGTTTTACCACTGAGCCCATTTTGCAGATGCAGAGGAGACTCAGAAAAGATAGTTGTTAGTTTGAGACTCACACCCAGATTTATGTCTTAGTGTTTAGTGTTACAGAAATATATGGCTCTGAGTGAAAGAAACCCTAAATCATTAAATGAATATAAATAGCTAGCCTGACTGGGTCCTTGGTATGCACATGGACTGAATGATTAATCTTCAGAGCAACCCACACACAGAAGTAAGTTGGTTATCCCCACTTTGCAGAAGCCAGGAATAACTGCAATGAACACAGTATTATTTAATACTTCTTTAAACTAATTAGGCCTGTATCATAGTGTTGAATAGCTTGGACTCAGTCACTTACTAGTAGTGTGATCTGGAGCAAGTTTTCAGTTTCTCTCTGGTTCAGTTAGTTTCCTAGGCTGTAAATTGAACACAATAAAGTTACTTTTATCATAAGGTCACCACACGAATGATTGTTCAGAGCAAGAGTGAATCTGGGTTTTTACAACATACATAGAAAAGAAGATTTATTTTTCTTTCAGGGATTATTTCCAGAATAAAACAATTTCCACAGTTCTAGTCTTGGTTAACAGTTGCATTTTCAGTCAGAAAAATGATTTATTCAACATATGTTATTGAGATAACTAAGTAGTCAGGAAAAAGAAGTTCAAACCATATGTCATACAGCAGGACAAATCCTAAAAGTATCAGAGATTTGAATATAAAATATTAAACCACAGAAGCATTAGAAGAAATTATGGGAGATTTTCTTTATATTCTTGGACTACAACAGTCCTTGCTAAATATGGAAAGACATCAGAAGCCCAAAAGAAGATAAATTCTAATGCATAGAAATATTTCAACCTCGCAAAAATCACCATAAGCACAGTCAGAAAAGTAATGGCAAACTTGAAAAAGAATTACAACTGAGATCAAACAAAAGGCTAATTTTCTGAGATATTAAAAGCTCCTAAGAATAAGTAAAGGCCGAAAGCTCAAAATAAAAAATGTGCAAAGATGCCCTATCTCACCTGTAATAAAAACTGAGTATCAGAATTTTATACTGAGATAACTGATTTCATTTATGTTAGCAAAGATCAAAAAGTTTAATAACACAGTGTTACCAAGGAAATGTTCCCCTATAGAGCCAGTGGCTGTTTAAATGCATGCTACCGCTATGGAAAGCACTTTAACAACACCTATTTAAAAATACACATACTCTTGGAGGCAGATATTTCATTTCTAGACATTTATCTTATGTGGATACTCATAGAACTCCAAAATGACTGTTACACATAGTTATTCACTGTAGCACTGTCTATAGTAGCAGAAGGCTGGAAACACTTGAAATGTTCTAAATGGGGTCTTGGTTAAACAAATGCAATGATGGAATACTATGCAGCTGTAAAAAAGGGGAATGAGACCACCTCTGTGTACTGGTGTGAACAAATCTCCAAATCACATTGTAAGATTGGAAAAAAATTAAAAGTATATTAACTTACATTATAAAAAGAAAATATTTTATATGAAAATATTTTATATTATATATGAAAAACATATAAATATGTTTTCTTTATATACAAATAAATTATATTTGAAAAAAAGCGCAAGAAATTTGACAAAGGACTGAACATCTGGGGGCTCTGTCCTGCAGCTTCATGCACTGTGCTCCAGCCACCCTGCCTTCCTTTCATCTCCTCAAACCCTCCATGCTCAGTGTTGCTCGTCCTGTGTCCCCAGAAGCTCAGGTGACCATCTGTGACTCATGTGCACACTGAGGTTCCTGCTAGTACTGCTATGGTACACAGGGGATCCACATCCAGCATTGCCCTGCCCAACTCTGAGAGCTGGTGGGACATCTTCCAACAGCACTACTCTTTTCCATTCCCCAGAACACCTGGTGTCATCCTTTGTCACACTCGTCCCTGGGCTGGTGTGACCCTGGGGCTGTAGGGAGTTCTGTGGGTTAGGGATATGTCTTGCCCCACTTTACTGCCTATGTGTTTGGAGGGCTCCACACAGAGCAATACTTGGTAAATGTTGGTGGATTTCAACTCAGTAAGCAGAATTACTCAATTGTAAACCTGGAAAGTGGTCTTTTTCTTTTTAAAGATTTTATTTATTGAGAGACACACACAGAGAGAGGCAGACACATAGGCAGAGGGAGAAGCAGACTCCCTGCAGGGAGCCCGATGTGGGACTCGATCCCAGGTCTCCAGGATCACATCGTGGGCTGAAGGCAGCGCTAAACCGCTGAGCCACCCGGGCTGCCCTGTATTATGATTTGTTAAATGATAATAGAACCCCGGGATCATGACCTGGGCCAAAGGCAGACGCTCAACCACTGAGCCACCCAGGTGTCCCTGCAAAATGGTCTTATTGGAAAGCTTTCAGAATGCCAATTGCAGCCTCAGTGAAGGTTATAGAAGAGATCACTAAGGAGCTATTGTTCATCTGTTAGTGTTTGATAATAGTTCAATTTAGCTCAAACATAAGGTCAATATAGGAATAAATTATCTTGTGAAAATTGTTTATTGATTTTATGGCACATTTCTCTTACAATATATAAGTTGGTCCAGAGACATAAATCCTTAAGAAAATGTGAGAAAGAGAAGTGTTTGTTAAAGCCATACCAGCATTGAAATCAATTTCAGAAGTTTTAAGAGGTTTAAACAGTGTCCAAACATAAGTACAAAGTGCACCTGAAAAGTGACTTCAATGGGATGCCACAGATTTCAAGCAGACCTACAGTCCTGCACCTTTCCCTTGGAGGATGACTTCTCCGGAGATCTGTCTTTTGGGCAGCCCAGGGGGCTTAGTGGTTTAGCGCCGCCTTCAGCCCAGGGCCTGATCCTGGGGACCCAGGATCGAGTCTCACCACAGGCTACCTGCACAGAGCCTGCTTCTCCCTCTGCCTGTGTCTTTGCTTCTCTCTCTCTCTCTCTTTCTATGGCTCATGAATAAATAAATAAATAAATAAATAAATAAATAAATAAATAAATAATCTTAAAAAAAAGAGAGAGAGAGAGATCTGTCTTTCTGTTTAGGGACTGATGACTAACAAAGTCAGCAGGTTGACTGCCATGACCTCTCCATCCCCTAGCACTTCGTCAAGAACAAGAAATAAACAAGAAAAACTATTTATTGAATTTAATAAGAAAAGAAAACTGTTGGTGAGAGCCTTGGCTCTTGCTGTATAATTTCCATTATTCTTGAATTAGAATGCATTAGAATAAAATTATTTTCTCTTTTGAGTTTATGAATAAAATATTTAGTTATTCCTACAAGGAACTGCCACTTTTTAAAATCGTGTCACTGAGTTTAATGAAATGTAATCAGAAGTAAACTAACTGAATGCCTTCCAAAGTCAGGTACATAAAAAGATAATCAGGACTTCTACCCACAAAGAGTAGCTAGTATTCATTATGCTTCTTATGTGATAGATACTCTTCAACAAATGTTAAATGTATGAATTCATTTACTACTCCCAAAGACATTAAGTATGATTTTTATCCCTATTTCATAGATATAAAAAAACTTAAATGGAGATGTTAATCAACTCAAGTTTACACAGAAAATAGCAGAGATGTATTTCAAATCTAGGCATTCTGGGCCCCACGCCCTGCCACCTCCACCCCCTCTGCTGCTGCCAAAAAGTATAACCGTACCTAACAGCCTAAAGTTGTATTTTCTCCACCCTAGCCTTCCTTAAATAGGTCAGGATCCCCATGAGAATGTGGGATCAGAAGTTCTACAGCAACCAGGAAATGTTTCAAATTTGCTGTCATGTGTACAGAGGATGCTTTTAAATCAACATAAAAAATATCAACAGTGTGTTGGTGGGAATGTGAACTGGTGCAGCCACTCTGGAAAACTGTGTGGAGGTTCCTCAAAGAGTTAAAAATAGACCTGCCCTACGACCCAGCAATTGCACTGCTGGGGATTTACCCCAAAGATACAGATGCAATGAAACGCCGGGACACCTGCACCCCGATGTTTCTAGCAGCCATGTCCACAATAGCCAAACTGTGGAAGGAGCCTCGGTGTCCATCGAAAGATGAATGGATAAAGAAGATGTGGTCTATGTATACAATGGAATATTACTCAGCCATTAGAAACGACAAATACCCACCATTTGCTTCGACGTGGATGGAACTGGACGGTATTATGCTGAGTGAAGTAAGTCAATTGGAGAAGGACAAACATTATATGGTCTCATTCATTTGGGGAATATAAAAAATAGTGAAAGGGAATAAAGGGGAAAGGAGAGGAAATGAGTGGGAAATATCAGAGAGGGTGACAGAACATGAGAGACTCCTTACTCTGGGAAACGATCAAGGGGTGGTAGAAAGGGAGGTGGGTGGGGGTTGGGGTGACTGGGTGACGGGCACTGAGGGGGGCACTTGATGGGATGAGCACTGGGTGTTATGCTATATGTTGGCAAATTGAACTCCAATAAATAAAATATCAACAGTGTAATATGATTTATAATAAATGTATATTTTGGCCTTCATCTACTGGTTCTCAGCTTCCAGCTCCTAAAGCCTTTGGAATTTCATAAGCAATAAGAGCAATGAAAGCATCTTTTATGATAATATCTGGCCTTTTGTCCTCTATTTCAGAAATTATTTCAGAGCCATAGAGGTGAAAAGAATGTTATATTATTCATAATAAGGCCCTTTCTACCATACTTGAGTTTATGTTAATGAAGTGACTTTTGAAAAGCCTCTAAGTAACTGAAATTGGAAGCTGATTACCAGAGAAACCCACCATATGATTAAAGGATTCGTTTGTGGCTGTATCCTATTGTAGTTGGCAAAATTGTAAACATGGAAAGGGCACCAAGTGGGCTAGCAAGGAGGACACGGAAAGGAGCCTTTGAAACATGATTATATTCCCTCATTTATTTACACTATCTGCTTTTCCATTTGGAAGCTGTGAGGCTGTTCTCTGAGATACATAGGATGTATCCCCCAAAATGTGCCCACTGTACATGCAACATCCCCAGGGCTGACATTTAGAAAATGAAGGAGGCTTATGTGTTCCTTCCTGAACCTGAGACACATATTTGGCACCTTTCTCACCAAGGCCAAGCAGAGCCCAATCCACCCTCACAGTACGGAAACGGAGCCTATGGTGCTGTGTGAACACTGACAGAGAAGCGTGGGCGAGAAAAGTAAGCCTCTGGCAACTATTTGTTCAGAGGCCTTTGTTTGTGTGTTTTGCATATGGGCTCTTAATCCCATAAGCACACTCATTTCATCAAATTAATGTGCCTCACATACTTGACAACATGTTAGCCACAGACTAAAATACCTAAGAAGTGTTCTTGAAGTGACTCTGAATTTCCTGCTTCTCAGATAGTTTGATGATTGGTGGGGACCTGACCAAGAGTATTTTGAATTGAGGAGGATTTTGATTACACTAATATAATCAGACTTCCTGAAATTTAGAATTAACCCCATGTACACCTCTCTCATTAGCATCTGTCTTTCCATACAAGATTATCGTTGAATTATATTTGTCTTTCTTGTCCTGGGGAGACAAGTTTAGATGTCTAGAGAATTTCATGTCTGAAAAATGCTTAATCAGAAGGTGCATTACAAAGAAATTTATGTTCCCTAGGATTAAGTGTCCTCTTGGGGAATAATGAATACATTTCTGGGGATCCCTGGGTGGTGCAGCGGTTTGGCGCCTGCCTTTGGCCCAGGGCGCGATCCTGGAGACCCGGGATCGAATCCCACGTCGGGCTCCCGGTGCATGGAGCCTGCTTCTCCCTCTGCCTCTCTCTCTCTCTCTCTCTCTCTCTCTCTCTCTCTGTGACTATCATAAATAAATAAAAATTTAAAAAAATGAATACATTTCTGGAGTGGCTTTACTGTTTGCTCAAAGAGAAAATATGCTTCTCAGCCATGCCTTACAGGTTTTGACTCCTTTCTTCCCGTGTTCCCATACATGCATACACACACATGCACACTTTTTTCCAACATCAGTTATTCCTGCATTTTCCCAAATCCTAAGTTTCTTGATGCCTTCAGTTTTTCAAAGAGACCCACATTAAGCAATTGAGTTCTGTAGTTCTAAGATGAGTAGGTATTTTTTATTTTAATGTGGAATAGAGGACACGGTGTTTGGTTAAGAGAAAAAGAAAAAAAATCATGGTTTGTTGGAACTAAAAAGCACCATATTTTCTGGATGAGGGGAAAGGGCAAGAAGGAGGCAGATAGAGGTGACATTTAGGAGCCATGCATCTGTGGATGTGAATGAGGATGAAGGCCACAGAAATGGAGGTATAAATGCAGAAGTACGAAAAAAGACATGGGTAACTTGCTCTGTCGGGACTGATCACTTGTTGGGAACAGGTTAAAGAGTTGAGTCCCTGGCAGCTAACACTATACAGACTAGAATGCATTCATTGCAGAGTATCTTCACAGTAAGAGCAAGAGCCAT